TTTTTTTTTTTTTTTTGTTTAAATGTTTCCATCCATTGCATTTTTTGTTGCTATTATTTTTTTCTTCCAGTTTTATTGAGATATAATTGACATACAGCACTATATAAGTTGAAGGTATACAGCATAATGATTTGACTTACATACATCGTGAAGTGATATCACAGTACGTTTAGTGAACATCCACCAGCTCCTATGGGTACAAAATTAAAGAAATAGAAAAACTTTTTTTTGTATAACTTTTTATAACAGTTCTGTTTTTAAAAATTTATTATTTATTTATCTTAATTTTTGGCTGCGTCGGGTCTTAGTTGCGGCACGCGGGCTCCTCTCTAGTTCTGGTGCGTGGTTTTAGTTGCCCCGTGCGGCATGTGAGATGTTAGTCCCCCGACCAGGGCTCGAACCCGCGTCCCTTGCCTTGCAAGATGGGTTCTCAACCACTGGACCACCGGGGAGGTCCCTAGAAAAACATTTTTTTCTGTGAGATGAGAACTCCTAGGATTTACTCTCTTAACAGTTTTCATGTGTGACACACAGCAGGGTTCCCTCTATTTACCATGTGGTACATCACATCCCTAGGACTTATTTATCCTGTAACTGGAAGTTTGTGCCTTTTGCCTGCCTTCAGCCGGTTCCCCCTTCCCCCAACCCTTCCCTTCTGGTAACCACAAATCTGATCTCTTTTTCTATGAGTTTCTTTGTTTCTGAAGTATAATTGACCTATGACACTATATTAGTTCTCGTTACACAACACAGTGATTCTGTATATTTATGCATACTTCCATTCATTTCCACATGATCACTACAATATGTCACTGTACAAAGATATTACATAGTTATTGACTATATTCTCCACGCTGTACATTTCATACCTGTGACTCATTTATTTTGTAACTGAAAGTTTGTACCACTTAATCTCCCTCACCTATTTCTTTCCTCCCCCCATGCCTCCTCCCCTCAGGCAGCCACCAGTTTGTTCTCTGTATCTGTAATTCTGTTTCTATTTTGTTACATTTGTTCATTCGTTTTGTTTTTTAGTTTCCACATATAAGTGAAATCATACAGTATTTGTCTTTCTCTGTCTGACTTATTTCACTTAGCATAATACCCTCTAGGTCCATCCATGCTGTCACAAATGACAAGATTTTTATTCCATTGTGTATCTTCTTTATCCATTCATCTTTTGATGGACATGTAGGTTTCTTCCATATATTAGCTATTGTAAGTAAAGCTGCAATGGACATAGGGATGTGTATATCTTTTCGAATTAGTGCTTTCATTTAGAGCCATGAAGTTAGGAGTTTCTGCCGTTGAAGATCAATTGGAAATTAGTATAAAGCATCTTTCTTAAAAAAATAGTTTATTGAGGTGAAATTCACATAACATAAAAGCAACCATTTTAAAGTGAACAAATCACTGGTATTTAGTCCATTCACAATGTTGTGCAACTACCACCTCTATCTAGTTAAACATTCTCATAGTTCCAAAGTAAAACACCTTTGCATAAAGCATCTTTTAAGTTGTAGGAACAATAAAGCCCTGTAACCACAACTTAATTGGGAAGGAATTGCCTTTTGATGATACATCCAAAATGATTAAAAAATGCATTTAAAAGCATTTGGAAGAACGTGAAGAGGCAGTTCACAGACAAAGGCCAATAAAACCTATGAGCAGATGCTCACCAGTACATCAAAGATGCAAATGAAAACAAGACATCATTTTTCACAAATCAGATTAGCAAAGATAAAAATGATGGATGGCGCCCGGCATTGGCAAGGGTGTAAGGGAACCAACCGGCTGTTGGCGGACGGGGTTGAGGGGTGTGGGGACAGCAGTTTGTTACCCTCTATTAAATTATAGCCTGTCTTCTGACTTCTAGGAATGTAGCCCACAGAAGTACTCACACAGGATGCCAAGACATAAGTAAAAGGATGTCTTGTTTGAAAATATTTTTAAAAATGGAAACAATCCAAATGTCCATTAATAGGGAATTAGTTAAATGATGGCTCGTCAGTACACTGAAACATGATGCTGCTTTTAGAAAAGGAAAAAGAAAAAAGAGATGATAGCTCTCTGCATAGTAACACGGAAATATCTCCAAGGCATAATATGAGATACAGCAAATTGCCAAATATGCATGAATATATTTTCATCTAAAATTATATTTATGTGACTTATATATTTTCATCTGAAATTATAATTATATGGGCTAGAATATATATAAAAGAAATCCTCGAGTCGCATACACCAAACTATTACCCATGATTATCTTGGGATAAAGGGGCAGCCATGTAGAGTTATGGGTAGATTTTCTACTTCATGTCTCAGTACTTGAAAATTTTCACAATGAATATGTAAAATGTTTTCAATCAGAAGAAAAAGATACTAATTTTATGAAATTGTTAGAAATTTTGACAGTACTAGGTAGCAGTTATATAGCTCCTACTATGTGCCAGGAACCGTTCTGAGTGCTTTATATATATTAACTTATTTAGTGCTCACTACAGTCTTATGGGGTAAATACTGTCATTATCCCTATTTTACCAGTGAGGGACCTGAGGCCCAGAGGGGTTGACTAGCTTGACTTTTTTTTCTTTTGCTTATGTATAATTTAAATTAAGGTATAATTCATATACCATAACATTTACCATTTTCAGTGGTTTTTTACTATATTCACAAAGTTGTGTAACCATCATCACTATTTAATTCAAGAACATTTTCATTACCCCCCAAAAGATACCCCAAACCCATTAGCAGTCACTCCCCATTCACGTCCTTTCCCCACTGATCCCCCACTGCTCCACCCCTGGCAATACCAGTCTACTTTCTGTCTGTATGGATTTGTCTGTTCTGGACATTTCATGTAAATGGAATCATATAATATGTGACTTTTGGTGTCTTGCGTCTTAGCATCATGTTTTCAAGGTTCATCCATGGTGTAGCCTGTGTCAGTTCTTCATTCCTTTTAATGGCTGAATAGTATTCCATTGTATCCACAGACCACATTTTGTCTATTCATCCATCAGTTGTCAGTTTGGTTGTCTCTACTTTTTGGCTATTATGAACATTTGTGTATCAGTTTCTGGGTAGACATCTGTTTCATTCCTCTTGGATGTAGACCTAGAGGTGGAATTGCTGGATCATATGGTAACTATATTTAACCATTTGAGGAACTGCCAGACTGTTTTCCAAAGTAGCTGCACCACTTTACATTCCTGCCAGCAATATATGAAGGTTCCAGTTTCTCCACAACTTGCCCCTAATTTTTAAGGGTCAGAGCTGGGATTCAAACCAGAGCCTGTGCTCTTAACCATCCTCTTCCTTGCCTCTACCCACTCAATGATATTGGAGGAAAGTCCTTAAACATTTCTACTCAAAACGACTAGAGAAGGGTGACCTATAATTAGCCGATGCATTGTCTACCAGCTGGTCGTTTTAGTGTTTTTACCATTTCACCTAATCCTCTGTGCACGTAAACCTGATGCTGGGTCGTCCAGCCTGATACTCTCCTGCGTCCTGCAGCCCAGTGGTCACGGTCAAGTCCGCCTTCAGAGTTCACCTCTGCTCACCTCTTCGGTTTTACCTCCCTCCACCACCAGCCTTCTTTCTCCTTTACTGTTTCTGCAGTTTTCAAGCAATAGTCCACGTCCCATACCTTTGACCTCCTGTGCCCGCTGCCTGTTTTTCCATTGCCTCCGTATTTTCTCTGCCTTTCCAATTCACCTTCCCAAACTCAGCTCAGATGTCTCCTCATAGATGTCCCATCACTCCTTCCTCAGTGCAGGCTCTGTGCAGGGAATTTGCCTGTCATCTCACTTCTCCCCTCATGGTGCTTCCTTGTCTGTTGTTCCTGCCAGGCTGTGAGGTTAGCAACAAAATCTCACTCATTCGAGTCCCAACCTCCCGTCATGGTGACTGGCACAGAGAGGTGCTCAAGAGAGACATACAAGGAGCGTCTCCTGTTCCCACCAGACACGGGCTGGGTGCAGGGGACACGGGGAGAAAACACATCCAAACGATGAGGGGCTTAAAATATAATAAGATGAAATAGGTACCGTCCTTACCCTGGGGCAGACCCAAGTTTTGTGGGGTGTGAAGTGTATTTGGCTTTGTGGGTCCTCTTTTTAAATATATATATATATATAAAATTAAGAATAAAAAGTGGGGACTTCCCTGATGGCGCAGTGGTTAAGAATCCACCTGCCAATACAGGGCACAAGGGTTTGATCCCTGGTCCGGGAAGATCCCACATGCCGTGGAGCAATTAAGCCCGTGTGCCACAACTACTAAGCCTGCGCTCTAGAGCCGCGAGCCACAACTACTGAGCCCACAGGCCACAGCTACTGAAGCCCGCACACCTAGAGCCTGTGCTCTGCAACAAGAGAAGCCACCGCAGTGAGAAGCCCATGCACCGCAGCGAAGAGTAGCCCCCGCTCGCGGCAACTAGAGAAAGACCACGTGTGGCAGCAAAGACCCAACAGAGCCAAAATAAATAAATTAATTAATTAAAATAAGCTACAAGGATATACTGTAAAAAAATATATATTAAAAAAAAAAAAAGAATAAAAAGTGGCTAGTGCCCCTCCCAGGCCTCAGGAGGTATGTGTGCAAGGAAGATGCTCAAGTCTGGCCAGCTTCAGGGAAAATCCACCTCTGGGCTTGAGGTCCTGTCCGGGAGCCTCCCCTGAGATCAGATTCCTAATTAGCGTAAGAGTGTCTGAATTCAGAAGTCGTTCTGCTGCGAGGGTGCGATTCATTACAGTTTGATGCGCAGATAGATTTTTGGGGATCCGCGCGTTGCCTGTAGACCTGCTGTCAGCTGTCTGGACACCAGTCTGAGGTCTTGGCCCCGCCGTGGGGATGGGGGTGTTTCCTCGCACCCTGCTGACGTTCCTCCCGTCCTTGCAGCATTTTTCCCATCCCTTGTTCTCATGCACGTTCTCGAGGCATAATGTTCCCTTCACTCAGCTGTCAAGGAGGAAAGTCAGAGCCGCAGCTGTGAAGAGCATCCTTCACAAGCAGAGTTTCCCCAGAGAGTTTGCCGTTTGGAGCTGTTGCCCCTTATTTATGGCCGCTGTTAGCAGTTGAGGGAGAGGTTCTTACAATGAGCTTAGCTGAGCAGCAAGACAGGAAATTCAGAATTTAAAAAGTATAGGGCAACGTGAAAGGGAGTGAGTCATAAAACCTGCGTTGGGATTTGTGGAATTTAGAAAGCGTTCCTTTTTTCTCTTGCAGAAAGACACTCCTCGGGCCAGTTTACGGATCTCCCATTGAGCAGATACAAATCCTCCCAGTGAAAACCCCTCTAGAACTTCAGAAGCGCTACATGGTGTTTATTAACAGGGACAAGGTACCAGCCCTTTGCTCTCTGCCCCGTAAGGTGACCGTGTACTTGGAGCTGGAGGCAGTCTCAGGTATTTCAAGACTCAAGAACGCCGGCTTTCACAGCCAAGCCCGCGACTCCCATCCTGCTTCACAGTGAAAATGGCCATAAATGAGCGGGAATGACTCTCAGAAGAGTCACCTCATTTTCTCTACTCCCAAAAGTACAAGACACATGGTCCACCAAGGGGTTTTTCTTTTCTGATTTCTTTACAAGGAAAAATCTTATAAAGACATACAAGTTAGTTACACTTAGTTGTATATTTGATGACTAATCTATATGGGAAGGCGTAAAATCATAAGATGCCAGAATTGTCCTGGAAAAGCCTGGACATGTGACCATGAAGATAGGAGGGAAGCTTCCTTTCTGTGTCCCTGGTGGAACCTGTGTCTCTTCTCCCAAGGGACCACCGTGCAGGGCACAGTGTATGCGAAGCCCCAGCCATGTGAAATGCAGCTCTCACACACTGAGATGTCTGGTTCTAGATACACAGGTCCTTCCCTTAAACAGATCTGGAGGTTACAGGTGACCCTGCCAGGCCCGGCCTGGGTCCCGGTTATCTGAGTCTGAATATCTAGTTACATCTTCCTTTCTAGGTTGGACTTCAGATCTTACCAGTTGATGGCAACCCACATAAGACATCTGCTCTTATATGCCACCCCAGCGGGGCGGCTGGAATGGACGTTTCCTATGACGGCCGCTACACCTTCACAGCAGGAGGGCAGGACCGGTCGGTGGTGCAGTGGGAAATCAATTTAAGGTACGTGATGCGGCGAGAAGCTTGGCCCCATAAGAAGGGTGTCAAGTGGAGACCCCTTCTTTTCACTCAGGAACAGCAGACAGGTATTAAACCCCTACAACATGCCAGGCACTGTGCTAGGCCTGCGGGTACAAAGACAGCCAAGACTCAGGCATTGCCTTTGGCGTGCTCCCTGCGACACCCGCTCATATTAATGTGCAGACAAAAGGTTACTGTTCTGTCCCAGGGACCCATGGTATTTGCAGGTGAGACCATGTGATTCCACCTCGTTCACCCGGGCCCCATGAGTTACTTCTCACCCTGTCGCCGCCTGCAAATTCACACCAGTTAGAGAGATCTAGCCTGAATCTCCAAAGAGTGTGTTACAGAAATAGTAAGAGTATCGTTTGAAATGTGTATTTTCAGTCTACTCTTCTCACCCCCCTGCCCTGAGCTGAGAATCTCTGCCTAGGGCGAGGCTGGAGAATTGCATGGTTGAGCATCAGAGAGACACAGACTTTGAAGTCAAAGAGACAAGGGTTCAAATCTGAAGCCTACTCTCTGCTAGCTGTGGGCCCGAGGGCAGGTTTCTTAGCAGCTCTGATCTTTGGATTCCTTGTCTGTGAAATGAGGGTACATGGGGGTAAAAACAGGGACTTTTACAGGATCCTTGTAAGGATCAGGTAGGCTGATATATGTAACGCACACAGCACAGAGATGAGGACTCAGCAAATTAATCATTTCCTTTTGTCTCTTCTTCCTTATAAAGGCATTTGCTTATGAGCTCAGGATCTTTGTTACTAAAAAAGGGGGCACCCACTGTGGTGGTCCTCTCATCTCCCCATATTCAGCGAGCAGCCCCAGGGCAGAGCCAGTTCCTTGCCTGACCACCTTCTCCAAGCCCCTGCCTCTCAGCCAGGGTCCCATTGAGGAGCTGGGTAAAAGCAGCTGGGAGACACCAAGCTTCCTAAAAGAACGAACCTGATTCATGGCTCCCAGTAAAAGCAAACCCCTTACTGTCTGCCACGTGCACATCCTTCTTCTGTGCAGACATCGAAGCTTCGCCCCTTAACCTGAATAGGAGCAAGAACAGCCAGGTTAATCCGCTTTGGAACCGCGGGGGTTTCAGTTTGCATTTGCAGCTCTGACCTTCACCTCTGCCTTCACCTAAGAGGGCAGATCTTGGGAATTTAGAAGCTGGAGGTGAGCTCTCCCCTTGAAAAGAACCTCCTGATCACATCCCCAGAATGAGCTGCTTAATTCTTGGACACTAGCCTGTTACCTGGACTGATGGGGCAAGCAACACCCTGGTGAGAGAACAGAGTCTTCCTTTTTTTGTTTTTGTCCTCTTCTCAATCATCTTGGGATCTGCACTAGTAGAGATTTAAAAAAAAAAAAAAAAGCACCCACTTCCCAGTAGCTTTCCTGTGCATGGCCAGAGTCCAGGCTTCTTAGAATTTTAGTTTAATCTGTTTCAGGGACAAAAGATCATTATAAACGAATTAGCACTTCATTGCTGCTTCTGGTGTTTTAATATGTTCAGTGCTTCACTAATGGGAAGAAATATAAAAACCCTAAACAAGTAAACAAACAAAATTCCCTACCAGATCTACTGATGGTGAGTCGTAGGGTGAAATGAAGATGATAAGTCCTCTCACGTTCACATTATTTTAACCAGTGCACTCCTAGGCCCCCAAACTATCATTGCAGCATCTCAAACTTCCCCTGGGAGACCCCTTCCCTCATCTTTCCCCCTGTCTTGTCTGGCAGGCCACCCTCTTTCTCTCCTTGTCTGGCATCTGTTTTAAAATCCCCCATTTTTGTGCTCAACCTCACACCCCCCTGTAATCCTGCTGCCTTGCTCAGACAAGAGCAGAAAGACCTGGATTCAAATCCCACCTCCCCTACTACTTGCTGTATGACCTGAGGCAAGTCCCTTCCCTTCCCTGAGTCTCAGTTTCTCCGTCTGTTAAATGGGGATATTATCACCATGTTCAGCGCTGTTTTGAGGGTGGTGATTTCTACCATTGCTATTCCCCCTCCTCCCT